TTGACCCCCAACTGGTCTTTCTTTTTTTGCCATCTGTTTTCTTTTTCTTGATCTTTTTTGTTGCGGGGGGGAGGGGGAGCAGCCGCAAATTAGAAGGCAGCAAAGGTGGTGAATTTGACAGCTTGAGTTGGAAAAGCAGAACCTCCTTTGTTTGTTCAACTTGTTGGGGAAAGGTTTCAAGCTGGGCGTGGCGCCCATCAGAATATTGGCTACAGTCTGACAGGAGCATAGCATGGGTGTTCCCAAAAAGCAGAAAGCGCAAAGACCCCTAAAGCTGTTTGATCACGTTTGGTTTTCCTTGCCATCAAGTGTGCCCCCCAACGAACATCGCGACCTGGGGGATCAACTGGCATTCAGTTGCAACCCTGAAGTAGGTCTTTTGTTGAGGGCGCCTTTTGCGCGGCTTTAAAAGGAAACCAGGCCTGTTTTTTGGTTGGGCGGAGGGCCTCCCCCATATTTTGACACAATCCAAGCTGATGCAATTCCACCCCCCCTTGTTAGTTCTGGATTCTCAAGGGAGGCCCTGTCCAAAAGAAGCTGAGAATAAGAAACACCTACTGGAGGTTTAGGTGTGTGATGGGTGAGCTTCTCCCTGCCCCAAAAGTCGTGGTTGTGGAAATTCACCCTTTCTGTGGCATCAAAATGGTTACTCCTTCTGTCTACTTCATGACTTTATAGGGGATTCGCTTGGCATCACCGCAGTAAAGCTAACCCCAGAACAATAATCCTCTGGTTGATTCTCATCGGGAGGTTCCCTTTTGGGATCGCGGGCCCAGTGGTCTTCCTGTTTCCCTAGTATAGTGGCTGAACTGGAAGCATTGAGTGGGTCAAAACCCTACAAACCCATCAGGTTTACCCTCCCACCAATTCACGGCAAATAGTCCTGCGGCCCCCTGTCAGGTTCCATATTCCTTGGAGGGAGGGCTAAATCTCCGGAGTTGCCATGACCGCCAACCAAAAAGACCGGGTACCACTCCGGACCTCTGTTGCGCCACGCCCAGACGTCATCCGAGGGCGTCACACTGTCTCGGACAGGGGCGGGGGCCGGTGGTCCTGAAACAGTCCGGAGGCGCGGGGAGCTACACCATCTTGGTGCCTAAGGGGAATCGCCAGCTCCATTTGCCTAACCCAGGAAAAAGGGGAGCTACCCCATCTTGGCCGGAGTCCCCCGCAAAAAAAACAAACAATCCAGTTGTGAGAGATTCCCTTTAAAACCAACAAGAGAAATAATGGGCAACTTGACTTTGAAGGCTCCACCCTCAGGGTTTCGTGAGGGGATCCGGCATTCTCTCAGCACAGGCTGGGGGGGCTCCCAAGAACGCCGACCTAGCAAACCATCCAGCGAACATGACCTGAAGGACACAGGGCCTGAGATCGCGCTGAAATACCCATCTGGTGATGGTGATGGTGGGGCCTCATCAGCAACACCTGTCATGTCGCATGCCGGGACAGAGCCCCAAGCATCTGAAAGAACCCATCACCGATTTTGCCCCCGTTCGGTTGCATCCAAAACCTTCCAAGTGCGCGACATGCTCAAAGGTGAGATGAACCTCCAAAAGGCCAGGGAGACATCCAAGGTGCCCTTCATTGCCGGGAAAGCTTCTCAAAACCCTGATCGAAGGGTGCGAAACCTGATCCGTGACTTGGCCGGACGAGCGCATCGCCCACTTTCCGCGTCTGGTGCCAACTTTGGACACAGTGAGACTGTGCTAGCTGTGTGCTGGTGCCAAGCTACGGGCCAACCGCTGATGCCGAAGGGCTGATGCAGCTGCCAGGTATCAGACCAAAGATCCTCAGAATGGCACAGGCAAAGACGGGTCCTGAAAGCCAAAGGTTCAACAGCCGTCTGCACATCTAGATGTCAAGCGTTCAAGCTTGACGCGCCTGCATGCCAAGTCTGACGGCTCACTCTGCACGCTCCACGTCGCAGCAGTCCCACCTGTTCCATCGCCCCAACATCCCCCACCATTCCCATATGGCTGTGGCTCAAAAAACTGTACCAACATGGCACCTGGGTAAATGGAACAAAGACTAAAACCCGCGTAACCCTAGCTTGAATTTTGAGCCACACCCATATTGCCGAAAGGGAACAAGTGCAAGTGACCATCATTCAAGTAGCAATTGGTAGCTTGGATCGGTGGCTCACTATGTTTGGCCCAGCCTGATGCCCAGGAAGGATGCCTCCTCGTTTCGCACCCTTCTCTGCGGCAGCTTCGGCGGAAGGTGGGAGGCCTGCCAGCCAAACAAAAAGGGCCTCGCACCCAACGTGCTGCGCTGACAAAAAGACAGTCAGACTTGGCGCCAAATTTGTTCGTGATCTTGACTGGACGCTTCAAGCGACCCCACAACATTTCAATGGCTTGCTGTCAGCTACCCTTGTCAGGCAAACCCATGACTCGTAGCACGGTCTCTGATTCTGACGCACTTGCACGTTCCGCTCTTCCCTTTTGCTTTTGGTGTGATTCCTGCGTTCTTGCATGCCAATTGATGCACTAGTCAAGCAAATTACGCATGTTCCAGTCGCACTGCTCAGAGCGCCTTCTCGTGAGAGATTCATGGACTCCACTGCTGCATGAATTCTGACTGCTTGTAAGATGCCCTTTGTGTTGATGCCTGTTGTTCAGAAAAACGTCACTTCCCCATACAAGGATATGCTCAAATATGGGGCGCTCTGATGAGTGCATGGGAAGCTTGCCTGCGCTGGACAGCTTAAAGCCAGGACTAAGCAGCCATGAGATGAACACACTTTTGTCAACTTTGCTGCTTGGTGCCCTTTACAACTCATTGCCAATTACTAATAATCAACTTCAGAACTTGGGGCACTGAGCATGTGTTTCTAAACAGCCAAGGGCGGAACTGTTCACCGAGGGCTTCATTCAATCTTCATTCCGGGAGTCCTATTGCCCGGGTCTGGATCTGCCATTAGCCCGTGCATGGTGGCCATTCTTTGCTTGGCTTGAAGAAGCAAATGCGGGCGCCTGCAAACAAACGCAGAAAGGGCGCTACTGAACGGGCAAACCATACAGTGTCCAGCTGGTCGCTAGTGCCCCCGACATGGCTGAACCTGGTGTTACAACTCAACACCCTGATCGTTGATTCGTAGCCGCAAGCGTACAATTGGAGGGTAGCACTTATCTCTTCCAAAAAAAGTGGGCTCCTGCCCCTCGGTGGACATATAAATGGAATTGAATTCCATCTCACCGGCGCCCCCTATAATCCCCCTCAAAACATCACCCTAGCCAACGAAAACTAAGAAGACCCGCCTTACCGGGGCCAAAACGGTGATGCTTAAAGCCACATAATTGACCCTCCCACCGACTAACATGAAAGTGCACAGACCCCTGTAGCAAGACTACTTTCCAAGGGCCTTGTGCACTTCCATGTTAGTTGGCGGGAGGGTAAAGGAAATACAGGGACTGTTCACCCGATGATGCGTCCGCCCCTTCGTCGGGGCACCTTTCGCGCGCAGCCGTCCATGGGACAAACCTGGCTTTGAGCAGCCCGAGGGTCAATCACGCAATCATGCGGCCTCAGGCAAAGGAACCAAGCACATAGCTACAGAAACAAGCCAAGGGAAGCCAACAGAAACAAGCAGATTGGGTTCTGTCCAGGACCTCTACCCGTTGCACCTGGGCTCGGTAGGTCATCTTGCAACATAAATTTCCTACACTGAGCTCCCCTACAATCTTAATTACATAAAATGGAAGCCAAAGGAGGATTTCCCCATTCTGATACATGCCCACAAAAAGCGTAAGTGGACGAGTCTTGCGGCAGGCTGCCACACGCACCCTCACTCATGAGAAACCCTGTCGCTGCCTCCACCTCGTCGAAAAAGTCGCAGAAGTCCGACCAGGACATCCAGAAGCGGCCTGTCCGCTTCCCACGTTTTGCAAATGTATAGCAGCTGGCACTGGCCATCCCGGTGACTCCGACATTGAGGTACCTTCCCGGGTTATGCCTAGGTGAGCTTGCTGTGATTTGGCCAATGGGAATCCGTGGTTGGCTCACAGTGCCTTTTGGTGGGAATCTTTCCGCGAGGTTCAAACTGAGTGGTGAACATTAGCATGCAAACTTGTGTTTCCCAGCATCAGGAACCCTTTTTGGGTTCCGCTTGCCCTGAAATTTCTTCCTTACGGTGCCAAATGGCTTATGTCCCATCAGCTGTTATCAGAAAAGGCGTGAGGGCCTAATGCCAAAACAGGAAATTACCTGAGAGATCGATCCATACACTGCGCATTTAGAAGCAAGGCCAACGTGGCAAAGCACCGTGTGTCTACATCTCTCTGCACGAATGTGCTCACGCGTAGCCCTCGCCTATATCATCTGGCACAATCTGGTGAACACCAGTCACATCCATTCACATGGGGTCCTATCCACCCACCAGTGAGGGCATTCCAAGCACTAAGATTCACAGCCATCCCGTCTCAAACAAAACTGCTCCCTGCACGCTAGCCTCTTGCTGTCCTTGGGCTTCCCTACATCTTCCCCAAAGCCAACCCCAAAAGCAGCCTCATCTTGCGATGTTTCAAACCAAGAAAGGAATCCTGGTGGGCACGAAGCTCCATACCCAAGCACGCCAGGACTAGCCCCTTTTTTGGCCATGCATCGAGTGGCTGGTCACTGTACACAGAACCCAGCCCAGTCTTCTGCCGGACCCCCTCGCACCTAACAAAACCTTTGGTCTGCCGTGGCCCACTGGTCCACATCAGGGGCCAGGAAAATGTATGCGACGAAAAACCGCCATGGAAAATAGATCCCCCTACTACATCAATTTGTCAATCAGATCCAACTCGAAAGGCAAAACACAATTCATAATTGACAATATCGCTCGCGGAAGAGCCTGGGGTGCTCGGGCACGGTTTTTTTTTTTTCAGAGGACCCTCTCCAGATAACCGAGAGGGCAGCCTAAAGACTCGCAAACCTTGCCTCTTTGAAACCACGCGCAGAGGGCCTCAGGCACACCGAAAATATCGCTATCGGACATTCTCCCACGCGCTTGCTCAGCTCTGGAATTTGATGGAGTAGCCTCAGAAACAAAGAATCATTTGAAATCTGAACCACAGGCGATGGAAAAGTGCCGAGACCCGCCCGCTGCGATGAGACTCCCTTCCCAACCCAAGCCCTACCCCTAGCTCTGGCCGCTGGGAACTTAACACCTCGAGGTGGGGCCATGATACTGTCCGCAAGCTTAAGCGGCCGGATGCTCGTTTTGTGGTCAAATAGATCCCCCCGCATGTGCTTGTCCCCAAAAACAAACCAGTTAACGTGAAATGCACAAACTGGATCCCTTGAAGGAGTTTCCTCCATTTTTTGGGGTCCGAGTGAATCTGGGCTCTATCTCTTGGAAAACCTCTTGCCTGGGCCTCACGAGAGCCCAAACATAGGTCAAAAGATCTGCACCACTGATCCACGAGGAACTCACGTCGCAAACTCTCACTATGACAGGTATGCAACAAAACCACACGTAACAAGTCAATACACGCCACCCACCCACCCACCCACCCACCCACCTACCCACCAAACAAAAGCTTCTATCGTGTTGTGCTGCTGCTGTTCGGGCATGGGTCCACCGGTCGGCCGCTTGCACCCTGATTTTGCCTGGCGGCTGCCAGTGTCCGGATCCTGCTCCAGCTTGAAGTTGTCGGTGGACATGCCGAACTTCCTGGGGCTTGCTTTGTCTGCTCGATTTCATAGGTCCAACCCGCCCCCCTTCCCTGTTTCAAACGATAAGCTCCTAGTAAGGCCATACTGAAGTCTTGCTTTAAACGGGGGCGGGTCAGATCCTATCATGTTTGGACAGTTCAGCCCGGCGGTTGGCTGAGCTACTGCCAACCCCCCCTCCAAAAAAAGAGGACTCAACCTAAAGGACGATTACCATTTGGGAGGGAGAGGCTTTCAGACAAACATTAGTTTTTGATGGACAAAGCTGAAAGCTGAAAGCTGCAACAAGCTCAAAGCAAGCGATGCGATTGCCTTTCACCCACCATCATAGAGGCCCACGTCATATAGGATAGCACAACCCCTGCATTCATGTCCAGTGCACCGTTTCATCAAAGATCCCGACCCGGTTGAGTGGGATGTTGAAAGCCACCCAGCATGCGGATAAGAAAACTCGGCGGAAATGTCATCTTCGGCCCGCATGCCTAGCCTATGGGCTGAGTGATGAGGCCACCGCCAACCCATTCGACATGCCCCCATCCCTTTCAAGGCGTGAGCGCATCATCGCTATCAACAAACATGCCACTTAGCTGGGATAAATACTCTGCATCCCTGCGAGCTTCTCAACGTCGAGAAGCACCGACGCACATACACGTATGGCTGTAGGTCAAAATCGGTATGGAAACAATGACTAAAACCAGTGGTCCCCTGGTGGTTTAATTTTGACCCATACACATATGCATTTGTAAGTGCGCGATGCGAACATATGACATTATGTTGTCCTGTGTTTACTTCTCTGTGCATCTATCGATCCAATCTATCTATCACGTTCTATCACCAAATGAATGACCCGTGCGCTGTGTCTATTGTATGTCTACCGGCACTTGTAACACCGAAACGGAATCCATCTCTGTGCCCAAGGCGCCCGAGGACTGTGTTGCCTAGCTCCTTGAGCTTCCCCATCATCTCGTCCTTGTCTTTCTCGAATTGCTCCTTGGGCCATTCGGAATTTGTACGGCAGTTTTGAAAGGGGATAACTTACACACATAGCTCGCCTCACGCCGCGCACGCATGCGCGTGCGCACGCACGCACCGTACACACGCACGCAGGCACGCGGATGTGCTGAAGCCGGTACCATGATGAAACAAGGAAGCCACAGCCCAGGTAGTTGCCCAGGAACTCTGGCCGGCACCCTTTCCGAGACTGCGTTCTGTTCTGGCCACTGGCAGGCGCAATTCAAACGACAACATGAAACAGGGATCCTTACATCATACACCCGAACATTGCCTTGTAAATTGCGGTTTCCCTTTATTTTGGTGGAAAAAGCCAGGTTTCAAATGGGCAAAATGTATGTTTTAAGGAGCCCTGTGACACCAACGACAGTTTCCGCCTGCGCCCGCTTCTCCAGTACCGCCAGTCGCCGGGTCTCCTGGCGTTGGCCATTCGGGCGCTCCGAAAGTTGGCGCTTTGGGGGTAAGTAAAGGGGACTGTGTGGGTGTCTCTGTTTTTAGGGGACCCCCAAAACAGTGTTCCTTTTAGTTTTCGTTGAAAAGCAACAAAAAGGAGGTCTCCTCAAAAACAAAACACCCATATGATTATTAAGCCGAAATGAGGGGACTGTGCCATTCACAGTGCCATTTCTTTTCTGTGAGTCATTCACAGGAACAGTGCACCAGGGTGAAAGTGGATTGCACAATTCCCTTTCCGTAAGGGGATGACAGAAATCATGGGTTGTTCAAAGTGGGTCCTGAAGGAAGGTCCCTTCTGGAAAATTGTCTTTCCAGGAGCTCAGTCATGTTACATTCTAGCCTTGCTCCAAAGAGCGGGAGCCCCTAATCCGCATCAGGGTGTACAAAGGCAGCGCGTTAAGTGGGGTGGGGGTTGAAAGGGGCTTGACCGGCGGTTACTGACTACTTAACTCCTAGACCATCTGCTAGTAACTGGCTTGACCGAATTGGGCAGGAACCCACTCGCATAGGACATAAGGATTAAGGACTAATTGTTTAAGCAACCTTCCCTCAACCGCTGGCTGGTTGAACACCACAGGATATGAACACAACGGCACCCTCCCGAAGCTTGGAACCTGAACACGGAAAACTGTCCAAACCAATAAACGGCTTTCCATTTTTGGGCGGTTGAGGTTTAGCCCTCTGGTTTACACGAAATCGGGAGCCCAAAACTCTAGACTCCCAAAGGGCCCATGACTCCCCCTCACCGTTGCATGTGATGTGACTCGCAAGATGCCGCCACAACTCTTTATTTGGACATGGCAACCCAAAGGAGATACACAAATGCCCGATGTTTTTTCCCAGCCCCGTGCCCCACTCCCACACCAAGGGGTAAGAACGCACAAAAGCTCTGGGGGGCCTGCCGACAACCGAAATGTGGGTGTCTCCGAGTCCCTGAGAATCAATTGGTGGCTACATCTGCATGCAATGTCCGTGCCAACGTGATTGTGCAGGTTTTGACAGGTCTTGCTAGAAGCTCCATGGACCAGACCAGGGCAACATTGGGTAACCAACCTAAACCTAAAACGACCAACTCAAAGACGAGCTTCATGCATCTGAAAGTTTTCCAAAAAATCAAAAAATGGGGATGTTAGGATTCCTCAGGAAAGGATCTTTGCCATGGCTACCAGCTCATTGTACCCCCGAATCGGTGAGCTCGCCAGAAATCCGCTCCTTGGCGCGCAGGGAGGGGTCTAACTCGAGGAGCTTCTTGAGGTCCTGTCGGCTATTGTCAAGCCAAAAGGTGGCTTAAACCTTTGCGGATGGAAATGGCGGACACGTCCCATTGGGGCCTAGAAATGGTACCACTTTTGCAAAAGGGGAGATCCCCGCTGGCTATGGACTTTACGCCAGGGCCTAAAGCCAAAACTTGGTTGCTTTCACGTTGGGGTTAATCAGTTGGATTAATAGGGTGTTCCTCCAAGTGACTTGGCGCCCCCCCCCCCCCTTGAATCGAAAACCTGAGAGTGTCTGGCCCAGGTTCTGGGTAAAGCATCATGGGTGTGTGTTATTTAGGCCCTTGAATCAGCCTTGTCCTTTTAGGTTTCCCCCTAAACATCCAAAAAGGTGGACCCTTTACAACCTTAACGCTTTGCATGTCCTTTTGGACTGCAGCTAGCCGTTTTGGCTATATACCGATTACGGCTCTGCATGGCTTGTACAATTTTGAGGCATCAGGAGGACACCCTCAGGGGCACGTGAGTCCCAACGAAGCATTCGGTTGATATCTGGCCCAGGGGGTCATAAGGCAATCCTAGGCGAAAATCTCAAGATTTCCCATTTTTCATGCACAATAGTCTGGGTCCAATTTCTTTAGCGCCAGCTTTGCCTTCCAAGTATCTCTTTGCGGAAACTGGAGTCCCCAATTGCTACCTATACTCATGCATACTTGTTCAATCGTAGCCTCGCGATCTCCCTGTTTTCTCATTGTGCCTTCGCACATCACCCCGCTCAATGGGAACCAAAAGGCTCTCTCTCCTCTGCAACGCCGTCCCCGTCGGTCAGCAACAAGCTGCCACGCGTTTTGCTGCAAGCCCTGACAAGTTTCAGAATATGCCCTGCTATTTCGCTCTTGTATGCCTGGTGGCCATAACATCCATCACTGAGCACACGTGCTTGCCTTGAACTGTGGAAGGAAAGGAGAAATGGGAAAACAACAGGGGCACTCGTGTCACCGGACTAAGGCTTGGTCCCTGGAATGGCCCCAGACCGTTTTGAGTCTTTCCCGTGCAACTTCCGGCGGCTTTGTTTTCCTAACCGACAACCCAACTTGTTAACGGAGGATGGATTCCACCTTTGAGGCTGAAGGATTGCTAATCTTTAGTCACTCTCCTTCCAATCATGGAACTGGCTCCCGAAAAGGAAAACAGTTCTCCCATCGCGGTTGGTGTAAATTTGTCTAAACCCTCGCTTGGCCAAAAAGCTCTCTTTCTTTGAGGCCACCCCCCGCCATCTGTTCTTGGTTTAAAGGAACAACCCAACAAGGAAAACCGATGGGTCATGGTCCAGGAATCCTCCAAAAAACCTCACCCGGACACCTCCCGGCTCTCTTCAAACAACACCTGTGGTTCCCCCCCACCCCTTCCCCTCCCCACCTCTCCCCCTGCCCCACCCCCTCCCCCCTTTCTCGGTTGCAAAGGGATCCACCTCGACACCGAAACCCGCGACCGACCTCCGACTTCTGACCCCCCGGCGCCTCCAGCGCGTCGTGCCACTTCTCGAGCTCCTCGTAGGCCGTGCTGCGCCTCGCGAAGGCCTTGCTGTACCTTGCACGAGGCTCCGGGGCTCCGGGGCTCCGGGGCTCGGCTCCGAAAACGGCGGAATCCCGCGTTGTGAAAAGACCCCCTGGGAAAAAAGGAGAACGTTCCAGGAACAAACTCCTTGTAAACCCGACAAGCTGCTCTTTTTTAATGAAATGACTGATAAACAAAACTTAAGCAAGTGGAGGGCGGTGGGCGTTTCTCAAACGGTGGATGGAGAAAACCCGCCGAAGGCACCAGCCACAACCTGGATTCATAGGAAAATCAATGCCAACTGGTGCAGTTGTTTTTGTCCCTCCACAGTCGGGTTCCCTTTTTGGCATGGGTCTGAAAGGAGGAAACCAATCAGCTGAAGGTCACTAATTTTGCAAAACACCCAAATGACTTTAGACCCCAAATCAGGAATCTCTCCGTGAAGCGGCTTTCTCTTAAGAAATCCGACGAAAAGGAGGATGGTCGCGCATTGTTTTGGAAGGTGGGTTCCCCTTACCCATCGTCATGTCTTGCTTGGCGGACCGTGTTCCTGAGCGCAACTGACGGGTCTGTAACGAGGCAACCCCTCCCCCCACACAAACAGACAAGAAAAAAACACACATGCCTTGTGTCCACACAAGGGACTTGGGGAAGAGCTGTTGTTTGTTCTTCTGCATTTGGCAGAGGGTTGGGCTACAGGCTCGCAAGTGGCAACTGAATGGCCTGACCTTTTTGTGCTGGTGCCCCCTGCTTGGTCGAGTTGTCGTGGCCCTTGGTATGGCTTTGCGCACGGGGAAGTTCTCTCCATGGGCGCGATATCACCTTCGTCCTGAATTCACTCAGCTGGCCTTGTTCGGTTGGCCACTGGCGTGCGAACTAAACCTAAGGTACGCTTTGCCAATTTATACCTGATCGGTCATGGTCTAGCTAGTGGTTGACTTGTTTGCCATTCAGCGTAACTTTGTTACCTCTGCCCAACAAACAATTAAAGCTGCGTTGCGCAGGGGGCAATGGCCGCAAAGATGTGGTTTGCTAGAGACCCCCTGGAGCCAGAGGTTTATTTGGAGAATGCCAACCCGTTTTTTGTGCGGGGCAGTTGTATGGCTACCGCTGTTCCGCCTTTGGCGGGGCACACCAGTGTAAGGAATGTGACAAGTGTGGGAACACAGGGAAGCTCCCCTTAATTCATGACATCTCAAATTTCACAATTGCTGAGACGGTTTCCGCTACCCCCAGCAAGGAAATCAGAGTGTATACCTTATACATTGTGGCATCGTGAGTATATACTCATTTGTTGCCTTGGGGGGTAGGTGGAACCCATGGACTGGACCCAAACAAAGACCCAAACAGCAGACTCGGGCCAAGTGCTCTGGATCCAGCTGGATCGCCTCCGAGCAGTCCTGGTCGGACCGTCGGAAAGAAAAAGAGCCCTCGAGGTGACATGCCAAAGCCTTTGAAAGAACTAGGTCGGCTTTTTTTGTTTTGGTGAGCGGACCCCAAAAATTGTGTTTGTTTTTTTCTTCTTTTGTTTTATGGCTTTCTTTTAAACCACACAAAAGGCCTATGCCTATATGATTAAACCATCAGGTGAACCAAGGAAGTACCATGATCCAAGTGCCGAATGCAAAAGGGATCCTAAAACATCATCGTGGGAGTGTCTGAATAAGCTCCGAGATGGGTGATCTGCTTGGAGGCCCATTTCGGAAGTCGTAGGGGGCCAGTCGCCTCTTGAGGGTACCTTTTGCTTTTCTTTTGAGGGCGGGGTACAAGGATGGGAAGAGTCAAAACCGCCCATTCGCGGTTCCCAGTGGATTTGGGGTGGACAAGCCCAGTTCGCTCAGCTTCCCCGGGCCTCCACAAATGAATCACGGTGTATGAATTCCCGGGCGCATGAAAGCCTGGGCATGATCAAAATTTCGCCCGCCATCGGTCGATCCCGCTTCGACTGGAAAGACCCGTCTCACAGGAAGGGATCCTCAAGTAGAGGACATACAGATATGCTTCAGCTCGCAATCACATAATTGCGCAATGGGGGCGCGAAGCAAACGCAAGTCGCAACAACCACATCCCAGCTGAAACCACATCCGGGGGCCTAGCGAGGGAGCTTGCAATTGCCAGTGACCCTGTACCCAATTTCCATTCGAGGGTAATTCGGTGATTCGTGGGCTGAGGAGGTGGAGACAAACAGGGGATAATGCAAGGGACTGAATAATTGCAAACGTGACTTTCCCATGCTCATTACTTAACTTTGTTTTGTGGGTCGTGGCACCCCAACCCCCATTCCAATTACGTAGCACCCACGCTAAAAAACGCGCTATCTGCCCAACCTCACTATACCCTGTCCAAACTCAAGGCCGAAGGAGCGTCAACTTCCCAACAGCGGATGCTCATGGGAAACAAACAACCGGAACTCCTCGTTTCGGTGCGGGAAAACGAGACACCGCTGGATGTCTCGGACCTCATCGGTCAGAAGTCCGCCGGGTTTCTCTTTCCAAAGTGCAGGCTGCATGCGGAAAGAACCTGTGAGCATCACAGCTTTCTGGATTCTGGCCGGTCCAACTTTTTGCCTTGGGCCTCAAGGGCCACAACATGACAAAATTA